ATTCATCCCTCAAGTTCAAGAAATACACTCATAAAAAGATATGAATTTATACATTATAGGTCCTTTTGAAAAGTCAACAAAAACACCTTTTGGGTCAAAGCTTCTTACATGAACATGGAAGACCCAATTGAGATGAAACCATAAATGTTGTTTAGGGGACATCCTAAGCTTTCTAAAAAGTCCAAGAACACCTATCTAGGGTTAAAATTGGAAGAGTTGTGCATTGTCAAAGTGGACCATTTTTGGAAAATTGCCAAAAGTCAAATGTGCCCAAAATTGCATTTTTTGGCAAATGGGCCCAACTTTTTATGCTTGTATCTTATTCCTAACATGGTCCACGGCCCATGAACTACTACATGCATCATTTATTTATTTATTTGATTTATTTTGATTTTTAATCATTTAAAATCCAAATTTAATCAAATAAATGATTTGAAAATAGTAAAGATTTGTTTTGATTGGATTTTAAAGTGAACCACGCATCAAGGCATCCCCATTTACCTCCAGATACTCACGATTTGATCGTTTTTCCTTCAATCTAGATTGTGCCCATTCACGCGTTTTACATGCTATTAGAATATATTTTTGTGTTCATGATCATCATACGAAGATGTTTGAATAGTCTAATTTGAGTTTCAGTGCATGAATGGGATTATGCCATTATTAGGGTTTGGAAGCTGGAAATTGGGGTTCTTGTTTTCAGGATAAATTGGAGGGAATTCTGGGTATCAATGGACTCAAGATGAAATTCTTGATTGATCTCTTATGTTGTTTGTGATTTATATTGTCTGTATCATGTTCTTGAGTAACGCAGGTTTATAGCTACGAACCAAATCTGTCACTACACCTTATAGTGACGGAAATCTGCTGTAGGTAAAAGTATGTTACCTAACACAATAGAGCAGTGAAAGAGACAATGAGGTGGCCAACCCTCACTGGCCGGTTTGAATTCACGCGCGCTTTTCTGGGTGTAGCATTTAATTACCCTTATATTCTAATTGTCTTATTATATATACAAACAAGCGCTCTAGTGCAGATGGTCAAGGGTGAGTTGTTTGAGAGGGAGGACCTGGGTTCGATCCCAGGCCTCAACATTTTCTTATTTTCCACTTTATTTGTTCCAGATCCAGTACGCTTCACCACCAGGAGATCACCATACGCCTCAAATGCATTACCATCTTCACCACCAGGAGGTCACCATACGCCTCAAATGCATTACCATCAGATCAAGCAACGCCATATCTAACGCATTGGGAAAGAAGCCACACGGTGGACTCTCACAACGCAGCCCCACTGAATCCAATGTTTGTCTTGGGGCACTAGACTGGGCTTTTGGACAGAATTTTGTAGCACATCCTTCAATCTGGGCCTACACCCCCTCAGGCCTAATTTCTAATCTTTTCTAGTTTTTTTATTTATTTTCATTATTTAGTTTAATTATTTTTTTATCAATTTTTTTATATAAAATCATAAAATCAAAACCACAAAAATAGAACTTAGTTTTTTTTAATGAATTAATTTTTGTAAATAAAATAATTTCATCAACTTTAATTTACTTTTCATTAATTAAAATTAATTAGAAAAGTTAGATTAAATTCAAATCTTTTTTCATAAAAAATCCAAAAAATATTTTCAATGATCAAATTAGGGTTTTTAGGGTTTGAATCTTTTCTCCAGCTCTTAATTCTCGCGCGTAATTATTTTCGTCGTACGATTAATTTTTACTATTGATGTAACTGTGCCCGGTTTGTAATAGCTTAATTAGGGTTTTATTTCCGCATTTTGCTTTCAGTTAATTCTTTATGTATCTACCCCAAAGTCTTGTAATAGCGTAGGACCTTTACTTTCTTGCTTTTATATTTTGTATGCTTGTATATAATTGTTAGCAACCTAGGCGTGTATGATTAATGAATCAATTGTAGATCACTAAACTGCAAGATAAATATAACTGAAAAAAGCACACTACTTCACATGTTCACTCCTATGGTTTACTCCATTCGGTTGCCTCGGAAATAATGGTCGTGTCCCTCGAATGTAGGGATACCTTAGCAATGACCCACGATTCAAAATCGTCATAAAGATCATAGCCCCTATTTGTCCCTAGAGTTGCCTACGAATTGATCTTATGACGATAGTCCTTTCGAAACGCTAAGGTATCTCTACTTGTTGCCTTTAGAGACCATTTCATCCCTTCGAACGTCCCTTTAAAATTCCAACAACGGTGTTACCTATTCCTTAATAATAGGATAACATTGTCTAAAGGAAAATGAACAGACCTTTTTCGAGTAGGTAGATTAGTTCCTAGGTACTTGCTCAAACAAAATTTTCCGCACAAACACTTTTCAAAACAGTTTTCAAAACATCTTCGTCACACCCTTGAGGACCGATACAAGGGTTATCACGAAGTAAACAAAACTTTTCAAAACAAACACACACAAGCAATTTGAAAAAATGAGCAAGTACCTAAGAGCCAGTGGAAAACAACAGATAGAAAGGGTGCTAACACCTTCCCTTTCTATAATCTACCCCCGTACTCAGAAATATTCTCGAAAAAGGTTTTTTTTTGCTCTTTTTCCTTTTCCTTAGTTGGATGAAATAAAATTCGGTGGCGACTCTTGCTTACCGCGACATTTGCAAACAAAAAACACAAACCAATATAACAACCGGTTCTGCCACCGTATCACAGAGTTGATGCTCCTTCTTCCAACCTTTGATCGTAAGCAAGATCAAATCAACCAATAGATGTAACTTACTCGCCACTTAAGCTACTTCCTTAAAATGATTTCAAACACCCTAAGGTTCCTTGCAAAGATTTCAACCACTCTAAGGGATTTTTCACTCGAGTAAATCCGATTGAAATCTATCAACACAAGATCACTGATTCTATCATCTAATTCTTGCTACTTACTTAAAAAGATTTCAACCACTCTAAGGTTCCTTGAAAACATTTCAAACACTCCAAGAGATTTTTCATATGGACGATTCCTTCTCGCACGATCTTGCACAAAAAACCCCAATTCAATAAATGATGTTAGATGATAAACCCGATGGCTTTTTCGGATGAAGACCCCTACAAGAACTCAACTGAAACCAATTGGAAATGTTCAATTCTTTGTCTAGATGGCACCCTGACGAAATATCATCACAATGTAATGTTGGTGTGTATGCATAGATTGGAATGTTGAAGACGAAGAGAAAAAATAGGCTAATTTTATGGTATCATCGAGTTAGAAATGATGCATGATTACATATTTATAGTTTGGAAAAGTTTAGGGCAAAAAGGACAAATTCAGAATAAAAGAAAATGAAAATTTGACAAAAACATAATTTATGCGTCGATCTCAAAATCATATGTGTCCACACATTCTTTATAAAAAGGCTGCATGTGTCGACCTGAAGGAATCTATGTGTCAACCTGAGCAAGTCAGTAGCTGCTGGCTTTAAAACGTGAGTAAATGTGTCGACCTGAAAAATGGATGTGTCGACACATAAAATAAGAATTTATGCAATTTAGAAATCCTTCAATATGTGTCAACCTGTATGATGCATGTGTCGGCCTATGACTTACAGAAGCTCACAGGCTTTAAAACGAAGTTACATGTGTCAACTTGAAACTCGGATGTGTCGACACATGTAATGTTTTTCAATGAGTTTGGTCAATTTCAAAGTGCTTTTTGATGGTTCCTGAGACCTATGATGCAGAGGAGTGCCATAAGACAAAGAGATACAATTAATTTTACTGTCGTGCCATCTTTCCCAATTTTGACATCTTGCAAAAACACTGTATATTAAAATTGTACTCACACTTACTGCTCCCCTAGTGGTCCATACTGTTCCATAAGTTGAAGAACATGTTTTCCATAGTGTATGAACGAATGAATGAGTTTAAAGATTTGTTCCAATAACTTCAGAAAGAGATGTGAGCTCTGAGAGAGAATGAATTATTTGGGAAGAACACATGATTTGTGCCTGGTTCCTAATGTGAAAGTTCTTGTGAAGTTCAAGGTACCAGAGTTTAAAAAATACAAGAGAAACTCTTGTCCTCGGAGTCACTCGGTGATGTTTGTGAGAAAGATGTCTACTCACACAGATGATCAACGTCTGCTGATTCATTACTTTCAAGATAATTTAATTGGTGCTGCTTTGAAGTGGTATATGGGTCTTGATAACACCCATATACGTACTTTCAACGATCTCGGTGAAGTCTTTGTTTGCTGGTACAAATATAACATTGACATGGCTCCAGACAGTGATCAACTCAGAGCTATGTCCCAAAGAGACAAAGTCCTTCAAGGAATATGCTCAAAGATGGCGTGAAATTTCCGCCCAAATCAGTCCCCCATATAATGGAAAAAGAGATGATCAATGTCTTTCTGAAAACTTTGAGTCTGTTTGTTACGAGAGGATGATTGTTAGTGCACTCAATGACTTCACTGAAATAATGAACATGCAGATCCACTTAGAAGAGAGAGTTCATGAATGTCGTTTAACTAAAAATAAAGGTTTTATGAGTGGTGGTAAGAAGTATGGTCTTAATTTTTCCAAAAAGAAATAGCAGGATTCCAAATACGAAAATTATATTTCAATAGATATTAAAAAAACAAATTAAAAAAGAAAAAAATTATAAATAACATTATATAAATAAATAGACAAATTATTAATGTTCATTTATAATTGAATTTAATGAACATATACAAAAAGTCCTCCAATAATAAAGCAACAATTTATTATATTATTTAAATAAATTTAAAATATAAAAGTAACTTAAAAAATAATAAGTCATTGATTGAGTGTAAAATCTCCTATTTTCTCTTTATAATTTATTTCAAAAGTCACACGAAAATCAAAATGAGTAACCAAGAGGCTAGAACGAACAAAACGGGTTTATGGATAGTACGTTGATGTGTTGAACTGTGCGCTCTTACTTCAAAATCCGAACCCGTCATCCAAAACTAAAATCAGAGTAAACGTCTTGCATTTTCCTATTTGGAAGAGTGAAAATGTTGCTTCGCCGATTACCGTGGACGGTGGTTTCCGCCGCCGCACCACTTCCATTCCATTCCTCCAATGGAGTTTTCACTCCTCCAAAGCAACTAACCTTCTCCCCTTCATCCTTCTGCTCCACCTCCGACCTCCATCTCACTCACCATCCAGATAAACCTGTAAATTTAATTTTCACGCATTTCTAGGGTTTAATCATTCAATTGTTTTTCCGCATCATTCACTGAGTTTGACTCTTCATTCGAAGGAACACGAACCGGATAATCGTCGCCCGCAGCATCTGAAACCCGGTCTTTATCTCGTCGGAACACCGATCGGAAATCTCGAAGACATCACATTCAGGGCTCTTCGTGTTTTGAACTCGGCAGATGTTATACTATCGGAAGACACGAGGCACTCTGGAAAATTGCTTCATCACTACAATATCAAAACACCCCTGGTAAAGTTAATGAAGCTATTCCCCTTTTCGTTCCACTCTATTTGCGAACTTAGGTCAACATTTATAACTGTTTGGCATAATTGCGTTTTACATTTTCTAATACTGTTTCTAGATCTTCAGATGAGTTATCACAAATTCAATGAATCACAAAGGGAACAACTTGTGCTCAGGAGGTTGAAACAAGGTGAGATTGTGGCACTTATTAGTGATGCTGGAACACCGGGTATAAGTGATCCTGGTATGGAGTTGGTAAGTATCCTACTGTTGCTTTTCTTGTTTATTCTTATCATCATTTCTATTTTGTTTCATAACTTTGTGCATGGTGATAACAATGCAGGCAAAATTATGTGTTAGTGAAAATGTTCCTGTTGTTCCAATCCCAGGTCCTTGTGCTTTGGTATCTGCTCTTTCGGCGTCAGGTTTATCCACCGATGAATTTACATTTGGTAATTAACTGACTGAACTCTATGGATTGGTAGAACTTTTTGCATTCATGGACCTAAAGTTATTACCTATCACATATGTTTCTCTAGTTGGTTTTCTTCCAAAACATTCGGGATCAAGAAGAAAAAGGCTCATGGCTTCGGCGGAGCAAACAGCAACACAAATATTTTATGTTCCTCCTCACAAGCTTTCTCAGTTTCTTGAAGAGGGTTCACCAATTTTTGGTGATACAAGGTACTACTTGAGACTTTGCCTTACCCGTAACTTTGGTGTTTTATTATATCATTTAACTTATATTGTTTAATTTGATGAATAGTATGCTCTTGTCAATATTTTTTTTCAATCACTATCCTTCTCAACTTCCACTTTTATATTTTTCAGTTGGACACCCCATTATTTTTTTTGCGTACTTTGTGAAAAACTAATCATTGACACCGTCCGTGTATCACATGTTTGTTTAATCTGTCATTCAATCCCGCCTTGGATTTTATTCATCTTAATCTTATGTGTTAGCACTCGAGAAACATAAGAAAGTTGCATCAATGATAGTTATTTTCCTTAGGGAAATTGTATCATGTGCTAGATTGATTGACTCTTCAATTTGATGATGTTGTAGGAAATGTGTTATTGCTCGAGAAATGACGAAGTATCATGAAGAGGTAATTTTTGTATTCATCCTTCTGAAGTCAATAATTGGTAGTTTGAAACCTGATTTGATAGCCTCTTACATATTGATAATCATCTTATTTCTGTGGCGGTGGTTGTTGATTCTACTAGTACTTTTCACTTAACCTGTGAGAATAATAAGAACATAGAGATTAGAGGTCTTTAGTGTTTTGACTCCGTATATGCCCACACTAATGGAATAAATTAAATCTAGTTTATCATAGAGATGATGTTCTTTTATAGCCTTCTTTACTATCATGTTCCTATTTTTCTTATGAAAAAATACACTTTGTTTTAGGTCATACTAAAACACTTAACCACTGTTAACTATAGCAATGAAGCAAGGATACTTCAAAAACTCTGCCGAGTCGTATCCAATATGTACCCATACGCCGATACGCTCCGATACGGCATCCATACGTATCGGAGGAGTATCCGTATTTATTTATTTTTAAAATTTTTTTTTTCCGATACGGCGCCGATACCCTCCGGATACGTGACTCTTTATTTTTCTTTTTCTTTTCAACAGATTCTTCTTTTTAATCATCCTTTATTCCCCTTTTTAATGATTATTCATTCCCAATAATTCTCTTTATATCCTAATTAATTCTGTCTAGATAGTTACCATTTTTCTAAATTGATTTTAGTTCACGTAAGTTCTTATGAATACTAATATTTAAAATTTAGTTCATATTAATTACTATTTATTAGTAATATTTATACTGAAATGTTTTTGATTAAGAATGACACGTTGCTTGCATCATTTCTTTAATTTCAAAGTTTCTTTCTTTTTCTACACCTTGATAAATTGGAAGCTGCTCTATTTACCTATGATGGAGAAAGATATGACATTCATACTATTCCAATATCTTAATTTTAATATTTTTAAATAATATCGTAATGTTAAAAATTGTCTTATGAATATGGTTTTGTTAAACTATAATTTAACTAAACGTTTAATTATAATTTTTATATACTTATCTTTAACATATCGTATCATGTATTTTTTTAATCAGTGACGTATCGCCGTATCGGATACGTGTTGTATCCGATACTCGTATCATGTCCGTGCTTCATTATAGCTGAAAGGAAGCTACAGGGTTACAGCTGGATTTGTCTGATGTGATTGGGAGGTTATGAGGTTCGGTTGTGAAATCATTCTCTTGTTAATGTAAGGCTGGGTTGCCTACAATAGATATGCATCAGTTCTCTTACTTTCTTGGATCCTGCCACGATGGGAGCTTTGTAGCATCAAATATCCCTTTTATTCCTCAACTATGGTTACTACACTATGCCTGGCTTCAATATTTAACTTTTATTCAAGAATGTGAAAGCTGGGGATTTGTGACTTTGGGTTTGTAACTTCTCGGGCATACAACTTCGAGAGTTTATGCTAGTCCGTAAACAGCAATGATTTTGTTCCCTGGATATTGCCTATGTAGTTTTCAAAGGGGAAAACTAATATTTTTCTGACAAGAAAATTAGTTACATGATGGCAAAGAATAAGGCTATAACAAGACGCCATTATTATGATAAACTTGATTTAATCGAAGTCAACACTAATAATGACCTCTTTGTTCTTGTTTTAATAGTGATTCCAAGGATATCAGTTGTTCTCATGAATTTTTTTAACTGATAGAATGCACATCACTTTTGTAGTTTTGGCGCGGATCACTTGGTGAAGCCAACCATGTATTTTCTACTCGTCTGCCAAAAGGAGAACTTACCATATTGGTTGAAGGGCAAGCAAGTTCTAAAGTTGAACCTCCTTCTGACACCGAGCTTGAGAGTGAACTAAGAGAGTTAATTGAAAACGGCGAGAGTCTTTCCACGGTAATAACTTCTCAATAGATTGACATGTTCAATTTTAGTTCTTCTAGAAATTTGAAAAAGAGGTCAGTTATGGACATGTTAGTTCATGGTTCAGTCAGTTCAATCCAAAAAAATGGTATGTGGATTTCAACTTATTGAATTCAGCGCGTCTGTGCTAAAATGATCATTGCAACCAAGTTAATATCAAATAATGGGCTCGCAATTCATTTGTTTCCATTTCAATAATTTTAGTGCATTTATTAAATTTGACTGCTGACATGTTTTTAGGCTGTTAAACTGGTTACTGGAAGAACATCAGCGACTAGAAAAACTATATATTCACTTGCTTTAAGAAAATTTGGTAAGCAACTTGAAGTGGAAGATGATTTGAGTTAGCAGCAGATTTTCCTGGAGGTAAGCTTGATATTACTGTGTTGGGGTTTCATTTCATCCATGCCAACTTCTGTTTGTTATTGTTCCCTTAAAACTTAAAGCACTCTGTAATTTACAGAGACCGGCATCATGTAAAACTGTACATGTATCTGTTGCTCAATCCTTCGATTAGGAAACAATAGTATACCATTTGTTGTTGAACAACTGTTGATCATATATGGATGGGTTGCTGCACTAGCATTTACACTGCTGCCTTGGCTTCCCACAGTTTAGATCTTGAAGGCAACACTCGGCAATATGACAGCAAAATTGATTGTACAAACTTGATCACTTGAGATGTAGAAATAGAAGAAGTACCATAGAGTCGCAGGTTGTTAAATCCAAAAAGGATAATTCTAAGATAAGCAAACTTCATCTCCTACATCTTGTACTCATCCCAGATGTTCCTTCCCCAACACTTGACTAAGGGAGTCAGTCGTTAGGTGATATTGCCATGAGAGTAGTTCCTTGATCTCAAATTGTCACATGTGATTTAAGTTTGTATATGTAATAGAACATTTAAAAGAACAAAATGATATAGGGTAATGGATGTACAGAGTACCACTACTCCACTTCTTGCCCAGTTTTCCTCATTTATTGATGAGAATCATATCTTCAAATGTCAAGGATACATAATATACTTGGTAATTTTGTTCAATACTCTTTTTTTATTTTTTTATTTTTTTATTTTGAACGACAAATTGTTAGTTGTTAATACTTAATAGTTACTATATATTTACACCTATGCCAGAACTTGAACCTTGAACTTCCAATTCCTTTTAACCCTTAGCTCAACTAGTTAAAGTCAGTTGAACACTTTCTTTGATATATACAAATAAGTATTCATATTTGACGGCCTCAAATATAGGCAAATCTAATTACTTTCACTCCATTTAACAACGCCATTGCTAAAATACTCTGCAATTAATATATGTTTCTATGTGATGGAACAAATTCTCTTGAATGACACTTTTGAGAATGCACTTATTTCTTTGAGATTAAGAAGATTAATTTATTTTGCTCATAATCAAGATTGAGTGATTCTTATTAGAAGGTAGATTGAAAGACAAACCTGAATTGTTTTACTTGTCCAGTATTTGAATTGATCGTCTCTTGACCGTCCTAATAGAGCCAATTGTTTGTGATTTTGCTTATACACGGTGTTTGGATAAGAAGCCACAATTCCATGACATCTGCTGATGAAAGTGACAAGGCAAAATTATAGTTACTTGCCTTTTCTATCAGTTCTGTTTGTGCAACTATCGAATTATTATGAAAAACTGTTTTGGTTATTTGCTCAGTCTATCTTAATAACCTAGACCTTATTGTTTTAGTTTCTGCTGATATCAAATGTGAAGTTGAATCTAGTATTTTCTGAATATCTCTGATCTGATAACTGACAACCAAACAGGAGAATGTTTCATCCCTTAGTATAACAGTTTGATATGCACGGGTTCTTATTATAGTTCTTAATGAACTTTTTTATAACATTATTTACATAATGGTTATACACTGCATTAGGCTCTGATGACAGCCCCTTGAAGTTTCATGATAATACCCTAGCGGGAAGTGCTGGCATGTCAAAGGCATAACCAGATGAAAATTATATGTACAAGGGAATTTGGATTTGGTAACGAAGTTAAAAACTTGTTGTCTAATTAAAGGGTGAAAATTGTAAACTGGGAAGATGACTAACATGCAGAAAAGTGGACCCTGGAAACAGCTGCCTTTAAGTAGACCAGACAACCAAATCAGTCGGCGGTCGGATCACAGGCACTACACTGAGACATGTCATGTGTATTCATCTTCTCTTCCTCCCCAAACAGCCCCTCATTTCTCTTACTTTGATATCAAAATTAACAATAACCCAATTTCATATCAATAATCTCAGATAGCAACGCCGCAACCACCTCTGGAAGGACAAAAAATAACTTGCTAGTTATTCTACTTTTACTCTTTGCTGTGAAAATCCTTCTAATTCCTAAGCATTATAGTACACTATTTATTGTTCAAACTCTAATCTAACGGCTAAATAATTTTATTCACTTTATTTATCTTCTATACAATTGTCATCTTCTGATTTTATTGTTTGCTGCATTACATGTCATCCTTAGAGATGACGGTGGAAGGTTCAAAATCAAATATTCGCTGCCCTGTTGCTAAGATTCGTTGGGGATCGAATTGCATCTTCATGGCATTGAATTGGGTCCACTTATCTCCAAAGTGGTCCTTCCACTCCTCTAGTGTTGTGTAATGGGGCAGGTACTGTTTCACCTTGATCTTCGAGTCATGACAGAATCTCAGAATCTGACGGTTCTGATTACTCAGGTACTCCAGTGTCTCAGCATCCACAGCTGATCTCAGAAATGCCACCAGGTAAAACACCTCCTCGTCTGGTGTCACCGCCGAGCTCCGATGGTCCCACCTGACACCAAAAACAACCGCTATAATAAGTTTAAGTTTAACCATCACTAATATCATGTTTTGGACTTTTCTTTTCATAGAAGCAAGCAATGATGCAAAACGATAGAAGATGTTAGTTGGATTTACTTACTACGTTGTTAACAATTGTATGACTTGTCAGAACAACGTGGAATCTGCATGTTTTTTGCTAATACAAAGGAAAATAAAACTGCTCTCAAATCTGTGATTATGGGATGTTAGTTCCATGCTAATAGTTTTATATTGTCTTTTAATGACTGAGTTAAAATCTGTGATTAAATGATTCTTAGTGCTTTTTTAATTAATAATATATTTCAATCTCACATCCATTCTAGCTTTTTTAAATGGCACTTATCTTTTCTCAATTGCACTGCACTCATCTCATCTATTTTGTATAATCACAATTTAACTTTCTGATAAATAAATTTTTGTCGGATATAATATTTGAAGGCAATAATCAAGTTAAAATTTAAATCATATTAAAACAATAAAATAAAAATAATAATATTGCATCAATGGATTGAATGCAATGTTATTATTTTTATATAAATTACCCATATTTTTAGTGTGAATTGGATTAATTATCCGTTCAATTAAATTTATGTGACTCAATTAATTTTTACAAATTAACCATATTTTTTTATGTGAATTGAATTCATTATCTATTCAATTAAATTAACTACATTTTTATATGATTAATCTAATATTCATTTAGGGAGTGGCAAATGAGCTCATGTCTTTCTTATCTATCTCGTAAAAATCTGAAAAAACGAGATGAGGCAATATGGACAAGGTTGAGAGTGCGAGCTCAAAATTTTTGTTTGTCCCTTACAAAAAAGAAGGCGGAGTGGAAAATGCCCATAGCCATTACACCTCTAAAGTCAAAAGTGCGGAGTGAAAAATGCCCATAGCCATTACACCTCTAAAGTCAAAAGTGCAAATATTTATATTTATATTTGCGTTCACAAAACCCGCAAAAATAAGACGGAGCATGGCTACCTCTAAATTTATATTAATGTTTAAGTTCGCAAAAGTTTGCAAAAATAAGACTTAGCAAACAAACACATTAGAGGGAAAACGGATATTCCCCAGCAGACCCTAAATTGCATGGGTGTTAAAATAATAATTGCATGAAACATTTTCCTTTTTTTAATGAACTATATGACTTTTTTAATGACAGATTTTGGGAGTATTATTAAATAAAAAAAGAGCAACTGATGCATGATTTATCTATTCTATATTATTGACATGGACATTGGTGGTTGTTGAATGAACAAACGTCGATGGCAATGGAACTAGGTTATAGTAGGAGTGGGTCCCTATTGAAGATCTTCTGACAGCAGAATCTTCCCATTCGGATCATCTTGGACGATCATTTTTGTCTCCTTCTGATCACAAATGGAAAGAAAAACAGCTGCATTTCCTAGTTGAAATGGTGGGGATGTTTGTTCTTCTGCATGTTTCTTGTTCTTAAGTCTTAACCATTCTACACCTTGTTATTTTATTAAGACACTCTAAGTAATGACACCCAATAAGAAGCTGTCAGCTACAAATATGTCGTTTATGAAAACATACAGTGCTACTATTATTCTATATTCGATTATGACATGCATGAATATGATTCTTATTAATTTTGTCGAAGCATAAACTTACTTGTTTTTGTTCATAGGGTAGATGAGAATAGGCCCACTTGTTTTATTTCCCAAAATGCCCTTGAATACTCCCTTATCAAAATCTTCTATCCTTGATTTAGGAACAAAAAGATTCAGCCATGGATGTGCTACATCCCATAAACCCTTGTATCTAAGTTTCACTTCTGCCTTATGTACACGATCCAGAAAATCCACGTAACCCACGTCCGTTGTGAACAATGATGTTTCTATAAAATTTAACTTCTTCAATAGTGCTTGTATTTCCTCATCAGCAGAATCATCATTTCCTTGGTGGTAGTTTTTGGTAATCTCCAAACAGTACAAAACACCTCCTTCAGCATTAATAGAACTGATTTTAACAGGATTACTTGAAGAAAAGAACGAGGATCTCCAATTATTAACGAGTCCATCATCCACTATCACGAAACCTTCGACATAATCGAATCTCTGCCTCGCCGGTTTCCCATGCAGAGAAATCAGAAACTCCTGGTCCTTACTAAAGGTTGAAAAATCCGAGTACAAAATTCGTATCCAACGAACCTGTACGTTTAATATATAAATTCATGATTAATTTTAATAATATAATAAACTTTTACACAGAAATAAAAGAAAAACGAACAAAAAACAAACTGTGTAGCTTTATGAGAGAAGGTGCATACTCTTTGAGGAGCTGGTTGGAGAGCAATTCTAGCTCTGGTGATGATTCCAAATTGTGCAAGACCACCAAGAACGGCATGGAACAAATCTGAGTTATGATGTTCTGAACATGTCAATACTTCACCCTTTCCTATAACACACCAATAAGACAACAATACTTATAATAAAAATGCATGATATCAGCGTCTTAAATTTTTGAAAAATCAGTGTAGA